CGGGGGGGGGGGGGTGTCCAATGTTTCCTAGTAACTTCACCTTTAACCTGTCACTGTCCTCAATGGTGACTAACAGACTTGAAAATGCCAATCACTTGGACGACCTGAAGAACTCCCTCTTAAAGTAAAACAACTCCATCCTGGCTCTTAGCAGTTCCAAAGCTTTTCTCATTCCCTCTTGGCTCCTTCATGGACTTTCTTTAACTAGCTTTGGTGGGCTCAGTCATCAGGTGCATATTGTCTGATCTGCCAACAGACTGCTGACTCCCTCTCTACTGCCCCACTCCAGTGGCCCAAGCTTCTTGTTAACATCAAAGGAATTTAAGGTTAGGGTTCCTGGAGTCTATCAAAAGATATAACATTAAAGACCTTCCCTCCCCAGAATCCTCTAACACTAAATGTGTCACTACCTGCCACCCCAGTCATGGCCATCTGCTCAAATCTTGCTTCCATGTCCCACTACTACAGCAAGAACCAAGGGGAACCTGGAAAGGACGTGTCCCCCGAGATAGACGCAAGCCCAGCCCATGAAGGATGCATCCTTGGCTGTTAAAACATTCACTCCCACAAAAGGGGAGTGGACAGATTTATTGAATTCAAACTGGGAAGGGAGCACCTGGATGGCTGGACTCTGGGCCCAGCCCCAGGCCCCTCTGCCCAGGATGGGGACCTGCAGAGGATGAGGCACAAGGCCTGCAGCTGCCCAGATTGGAAGTGCCTGCTGTCACTCCCCAAGAAGGCCTCTTGGAAACCTCCAATCTAGAAAGAAAACCAAGGGCCAAAGACTGGGCCAGAGAAAGGGATTTAGGGAGGTGGAAAGCAGGAAGAGGCAGGTTCAGGAGCCTGCCCTAAGTTACACTGTGCTTCTTTAGACAACCTAGAGGTGCAGGAGGGGGGCTGCTAATTTTGTGGGAGCCTAGGCTGGACCTTCCTCTGGAGCCCTTCCAGAATGGCTTTGGGATCCCCCCACCAAAGACCTGGTTGGGAGGCAGGGGGAGAGGCACTCTCTGGCCAAGAGCTTCCAGGACCCGTCCCTGGCTGCTGCTGTGGTCTAGCCCACTGATGGCATGGTGTGGTAGCACCGGACAGCTCCCCTCCCACCCAGTGCCCTGAGCCCAGGGACTAATGGGGAGGAAACAGGACTCTGAGAAAGAGGCAATAGCAGTGAGGCAGACCTCAACCCCTGGGCCTGTCTCAGGGCCTGGCAAAGCATTGCTGAAGGCCCTGGGACTTCTCCAGCTGTCTCCAGCAGCTGCCCGGAGTTCTCCCTGCCTTGGGCAGGTGCTGCCCATCTGGGCTGGAGCACAGATATGTCCAGCAGCTCAGCTTTGGTGTCCAAGACCCCGAACTCCCGCCTGCCTGGCATGGTTCTTCCTAGTCACATGGACCAGATCATGTTCCAAGTGAAGGATGTGACTCTGTACGCGGTCGTCAATGGGAAAGGAGGTCAGGTACCTCTTGACCATGGCAAAGTAAGCCATGGCCTCCCCAAAGCTGGGCACAGGGACCTCATCACCATCCTCATCGTCATCGTCATCTTCTTCATCTTCCTCATCCTCCTCTTCATCTTCCTCCTCTTCATCACTGTCCGAGTCAGAGTCCTCCCCACCTTCCAGGAAATGGAGAGTTGGGCACTGGGCCTCTTCCTGGACACTGTAACCCCCAAAGCCACCACTGGCCTCCACTACTCCCTGTGCCCAGTCTTCAGCCTCTAAGCCCTCAGAGGAGCTTTCTTCCTCCTCCTCCTCCTCCTCCTCCTCCTCTTCATCACTCTCATCACCCTCCTCTTCTACCTCCTCCTCCTCTCCCACCTCCTCTCCTTCCCCTCCTTCCTCCTCCCCTTCTTCCTCTTCCTCCTCCTCCTCTTCCCCTTCACCCTCCTCTTCTTCCTCCTCCTCTTCCTCCTCCTCCTCTTCCTCCTCCTCCTCTCCCTCGCTCTTGAAGGAAGTGGTGATAGTGGCATTAAGGCCACCTCCAAAACCGGCCTCGCGAAAGCAAGTTGCTATGTCCGCGGGCTCCACTGCCTGCCAGGCTGCAGCCACAAAGTGTAAGGCCTCCACTAGGCCCAGCTGCAGGCCTGAGGGATCCTGGCCCTCGAGTGCTGCCATGGCCTTGAGCAACATAGCCTGGCGGTAGTGGCCCTTCACCTGCTGGACCACTCCTCGCTCCAAAGGATGCACGGTGCCGGGGGGGAAGAAGGCCAGCTGCACGTGCCGCAGGCCCGAGGTGTCCAAGGACTGGGCAGCCAGACGGCCTGCAAGCAGAAGGACCCGACGAGATTCTGCAGCCATTCGGGTGTCCAGAGCTTTCAAGTACTTAGCCAGGGCCTGGGTGGTGACTCCACCCTTAGAGTTGGCAGTGTAGTCGCAGGGCAGACCACCCTGGCTTGCACGGGGCTTGGCGGACTTGCCTGCAACCAGCGGGGGAAGCTTTTCGCTGCCATCGGCGTTGGCGCACAGCAAAACGCTAAGACGCTGGGTGGCCTGGCGAGCCGTTCCATCACCTCCCCACAGCCCCGAGGCCTGGTCGGACAGAAAGTCGTACCACAGGCTGGTCTCGGTGGCGCTGAACACGTCCTGCGAGGCGTACCCCTCAGCCACCGACGGCGGCTGCTCCTCCCGAGTGCGCCAGCCTGGTGTACTGCCACCGCTGCCCTCAGAGGGCACGGCGGCTGGGCCGGCAGGTGCCGCTGGGGCCCGTGGGGTAGAGCTTCGCGCCCGGGAGCGGGTCACGCCGCTGCAGGCCACTACACCGTGGCGCCGGCGGAAGCGATCCAGCCAGCCGTTGGAAGCCGTGAAGTCGTCCATGCCCAGCTCCTCCGCTATCCGTAGCGCCTTCTCTTTCAGGATGATGCCCTTGACAGGCAGGCCCGCGGCGCGGATCTGCTGGAACCAAGCGATGAGAAGCCCCTCCAGCTTGTCGTACGGGGACAGCTTGTTGGTCTTACGGCAGGTGGAGGCCACTCCGTACTTGCGCTCCGACGCCAGGATGGCGCGCTTGTTCTTCAGGATGGTGCTCAGCGTGGACGGCGGGATGTTGAAGCGCCGCGCGATCTCGCCCTTGCGTAGGTCCGGGTTCTCCTCCACCTCCTGGATGAT